TCCTACAGTCTTGGTTGGTAACCAGTCTACAAGATGTGGCAGCCTAATGCAGGAAAATTTTCTACCTAGTCAGTCATGAATTGAAAGAGACATGATCACACTATCATGTATCACATGTAGCACTTATATGACTGAAGCTCAGTACAGCAAAAGGTCAAAAATAGTAGAAAGGATTGTGTTAATGAAGTTATTCAAAATTTTGATTTTGCTTGGGCTCACCCATCAATCTCTGGCACCAAGGTAAAATATACAATTGTCTCAGGCAAAAATTAGGCTTATATGATATTTTGGTGTTGTTTCATTCATGTCACCTTGTCATGTTAATGTGCCATGCTGGAGAACTGTGAATAACAGTGAATGGTAAGACAAAATATACTGTATGCTTATCTGTAACAATCCATGGTGTGGCTAACTCTGACTACTAGTAACTACAGGCACTACGCTTTATTGAAATCTGATAGTTACAAGGGAATTAACTCTGTATTTATTATTATTAATACATCACATCACCGAAAGCAATTTTTAATTTAATTTCAGTTTTCTCTTACATAAATGCTAAATGTTAATATATTTTTACTTTATGATTTCCACACACTCACATGAAATGGATGCAGAAGAAAATTTTTGATTGCAAATATTATACAGAATTCAAATTTTAAACCTCATAATTTATAAAAATAATTTAAAACTAGCTTTAATCCAGGAAAATTTCATGGTTCTACTATTTTAATATTCTGATGAATCTTAATTCTTAATCATTACATAAACTCAGTTGCAAGTTCTACAACAATAAAATATCCGTAGAAATTCTCCTATCACATTGTTAAATATTTGAGCTTAACAACTTTAACAAAATATTGCAATTGAACATAACTGTCATGAATATGAATGCTGGTTGTTATTTTAAGAAGTGGGTACAAATGAAAAGATTTGAAATACACAACTTTTTCCATTTTATTGAAACAGTTGCTAAACACTTCTTTCTTTGTTTTTTCTCACTGAAACTAAGTAATGATTTTTCCCTCTCTTTCCATGCAATCAAAACAGAATAGACCATTATCTATGAGGCATTGCCAGGGTATAACAGTCATGTAAACTAGGGAGGGATAAACACAAATAATAGTGTGTATAAAATAATCATATTCCTTATGGAAAAAAAAATTATAAATTAATTTACCTTCTGCTTTCATTTAAAAAAGTTTAAAATCATTAAATTATAGTTTTCAATGAAGACAGATAAATATTTTTCTTATAATTAATAATTTCCCTGTATCATTAAATATACAAGTAAATAATTTCACATAAATGTTTACTTTTAAATCACAACTATATACAACAAAACGTATATGAAAGGAAAATTTTGTAAATTTTTTATTCTGTTTTTTTTAGTGTCTTTACAGTTTGTTTTTTATGAGAACTAAGAGTGTGTAGAAATTATTCATAGTGATTATTATCTTGAGCACTTTCAGTTAATACTTTAACCATTTTCAGAGTGTGCAGGAGGGTAATTTTTCATTGTTAGTATATTTTCTTTTTGTTTCCAATACTGTGTTGTATAAGCATTGTAGTAATTTGTATTGAAGTTCTTGCTTATAGTCAAGATATTATGATTGCTTTCAAAGTAAGTGATACTGAGTATAAATCTGTAGGTTTTTCTTGGGAATGATTCTCTTATCTTTGAACGTCTTTTGCAACTAGATGGTTTTAAAATGACAGTATTAATTATGAAGAATTTTTCTTATGAGTATGGAGAGTTGGGTTTGAATGTTAAATGCTTTGTTATCAAAATCCAAACTCCAGACCACTAATGTTGTTTACCAGTTTAAATATCCTGTACAGGATTGTAAACCTGAAAATAAAGAAAAATCTAAAAGATGAATACATTGGTTACACAACTAAATTTTTAAGTAGATATCTAACTAACCATATGTGTAATCTTAGTTCGATATTGAGTAGATATACGACAATAGTCTTTGGCAGTTTAGTTGTATTTCAATTGCTGATTTACCAACTTGGGCTTGTAAACAATGAGACAGATTTTTTTTCTCTTGCTTCCTTGGTGATTTATTTGATTGTTTCCCAGAACTTGTCAATACTTTTCCAAATGCTTTCTGAGTTTTCTTTATTTTCTGCAGATGCAGGTGATGTATGAATAGTGACTTGAAATGAGAAATCATAGAGCTGAGTTCATACTTCAGTCATTAGCCTTGGGAAAGGAATGGATATATCCCCTCTCCCCAGCTATAAATAATAGGACTTGTATCTGGAAAAATCATTGTTATACTCAAAAGTTGCTAATGCAATATTCACTCACAAAAAATAATTATTCTTACAAGCCAAGATATTAATTTTGGCTTTAAATAACCCACAAAGGGTTGATAAACCGTAAAGAGATAAATGAATCAATCAATTATTTCTGCAATTAATAAGTTTCTTTTTTACTATAGTTGTCCTTCCCATTGTTATAACATTGACAGCTTTTTCCTCAAGGTATTTCCATAGGCTGATTATGTCTGACATCATTATCATCAGCACAACTAATCCAATTATGAAATCAAAATTCCATATTCAATAATGCACTTCTTAATGTATGTTTTTGGGAGTCTTGATCATTTGTCAAGCTAAGTTATTTACTATATGAAATAATTACTCTCTCACAGCTTTTATATCTACACAAGCACCTTGTTACATTTTGAGATTTAAACAACTATGAGATATCTTTTCCCCTGAATATAATGATTTCAAAGAATGGATACTATTTAGAACTAGCCATCAGAAAATTCTAAGTAGTTCCTAAAGGATAGTAGAGAGGTTCCATTTCTGTCATTACATTTTGGATATCAAACTTTAGCCCATAACTGTAGACAAAGATAACAAGTTGATAACATTTCTTCATTCTTCTTTTTATATATAAAATTCTGTGACTTCTATTAATCTGTCTGTCCATCCATCACACCCTCTAAAATAGCCATACATTGACTGATTGAAAGCAAATTTTGTGGAGAAGTGCAAACAGGTAACAGGCTACAAAGTACAAATGGTTTTACTAGGGTGCGTAGCTTAGTACAATAAATTTTCATTAATATTTTGGGAAAAATTAAAAGTTTTATTATTTAACATGCAAAATATGCCCACTATTTTAAAAACAATTTAGTGATTAAAATAGCAAATACTTATTTAATAAAAATGCAATATTGTTTTATGCATATCTTTTCTATAAGTTCTTATATACAAGAATCGAGTTTCCTATCTGTCCTGCATTTGTGAGAACTATAAACAAATCACAAGGTTAAACATTTCAAAAAGTTACAATTTGACTACAGAAAAAGAATATTTATGCATGACCATTTGTATGGTGAATGCTCAAGAGTAAGAAATCCTAAGAATTTATTCTTTGCTGTTAAAAAGGAAAAAAGAAATTTTCTTAAAAAATATTGTTTACCATGAAATTAAAGAAATTATTAAACCATGAAGTAGGGTTTTTGTCAAAGTATTTTTCCAAACAAATCAGCTTATTCAAATTTCATTGATTGGTTTGCAAAATTGAACAAAAATTGAGTTTGTAAATCTTGACAAAAATATTAGCAATAACTTCAACAATACAAAATAATGTCAGGATTTCAACATGTGTCAGTGTGTTGCAAAAACGTCTAGTATTGTAAACCCTATATGAACACCACACATATTTGCTGTGGCATCAAAATATTATCCAACAATTTTGTCAAGTTTCAATTCCAGTTTCCTGAGTACATCATTCAGTAGAAGAAAAATAAAAGTATAACATTTGATGAAAGACTTCCTATTTTCTAATTCAATGTGTGGAATAATGTATTATTCCATCTACAACATTTTACACACGCGCGAGTTTCCTCCCTTTCTTCCACACTCGCGTGTGCGCGCGCGCGTTTGACACCCCTTTCTGCCTCTTTCAGTCTAATACAGTAGTAACTGGTTTTGTCGTCAGTCAAGCGACCTGCTACTCCTTCTTATGCAAATTAGATTTTTGAAATCTTCCCGCGAAATTTGTGACGTCACCGACAAACTGTTGTTTCAAAAATTAGTTGTGATCCAGACTCGGACCTGGGCAGACTCATTTTTATCCATGTCAATATTTTAGGTTGACTGACGAAGGACATCTTACGATGCGACCACAAATAATTAATTCTTCGTCCCTTTTGGCTCGTCATTCAAAATTCTTCTACGAGATGATGCAAACACCAAATAATTAATTCTGCGTCCCTTTTGGCTCATCATTCAAAATTCTTCTACGAGACGATGCAACTCCAAGTATTGACTTTTCGTCCCCTTTTGGCTCGTCATTCAAAATTCTTCTACGAGACGAAGTAACTCCAAGTATTAACTTTCCGTCCCTTTTGGCCTCGTCATAAATCTGTTTTGAACCAGTACCAAAAAAAAGGAAAAAATTATATATACATAACATTTCACTCACATTAGCAAAAAACTCGCAGTGAGTATTTTTCCTTGTATGTATATTATCATGTACATTGACTTATCTGGAATATTCCTCTTCTTCAAGAACTTTTCCCGCCTTAGCCATCTTGTTTTCTATTTTGGCGCGGAACATTTTCATTGATCCCTACTACGGGATAAGTTACTTGTTTTCCTGCATTTAATAAAATTACTCTTGTTGAATCCAGTCTTTTTTTTTCAGTCATTCTGTGCCGGCTATCTTAATATATTTTATTTTATGCACGTGTGGATTAACCACATTTCTTCGTTGTTCATTCACGCATTTTTTATTTATTTTTTACTTTGCTTGTAGACTCGGTAGTTTAGTGTGGTGTCTGGCACAAGGCCACTTAGTAATAAACCAGCACTGCACCCTACCGGGCCTGCAACAAGTTTGGTGACCCGAGACGTGAATTGAACACGCAATAATTTTGCAACCTTGCCAACATAATTCTGAGCAAGCTGAAATATAAACGTGCATAAATTCGATAGCCAGAATGACGTCTAATGACTCTGAAGAGTTGGCGAACATGACCGCCGCCGTCACTCCTTTTCCCCCCTTTCATGAAGGGAATATAAAGAACTGGTTCCTGCAAATGGAAGCTATTTTTACTGTCGGAAGAATTACAGACCAAAAAACAAAGTTTGGCCACGTGGTGGCGGTTTTGCCACCCGCCATTGTCGACGAAGTATCAGACTTCATAGAAGCCGTTCCGGAAGTAGAACCCTACGCCCGATTAAAAGAAGCGATCTTAAGGAGAATGGGCCGTACGGAGGAATCATTAATCCGGGAACTATTTAGCAACCTAACTTGCGATGGCAGGACTCCCTCACAACTTCTTCGTTATATGAAAAGCCGACTCGGCAAAAATACCATGGCTGACTCTATATTGAAAAGCTTGTGGCTGGACCGTCTCCCCACCACCATTACCCAAATTTTGGCGCCTATGTCCGAGAACACCCCAATCGACCAGTTAGCGGACGCCGCTGACCGTATTTTCTCGCAACTGGATCATAAGACAACGCCAGTACACAGTGCTGAAGCGATTAGTGACCACAGGTCCTTGGGAAAAACAGTGGAGGATTTGCAACGCCAAGTTAGAGATTTAACATTAGCTCTAGAAAGCCATGGTCGAAGCCGGTTTCCTTCCCGCCGGCGCTTCAGGAGTCGACCTCGCTCGTCCAGTCGAAACAAGGATGCGACTTCTATGTGTTATTACCACCGCCGATTTGGGTCTGCAGCACACTACTGCACCAAGCCGTGTACCTATACTGCGGTCGCGGAAAACAAAACCGCCAGCGAGTGAAAGCGACTAATCTCGCTGGCAAGGCATTTTCACCGAAGCTTAGTCGCCTTTTCTACGTGACGGATACACGTAATAATTTACGTTTTTTGGTTGACACCGGCGCTGCCATTAGTGTCTTACCCGTGCGTGATAAAGCACGTCAACAACCTTTTCAGCTCCGCTTACAAGCAGCAAATGGTTCCAGTATTAATACTTACGGTACGAAGTCCCTTACCCTAAACATAGGAATGCGACGAGACTTTTACCTGAATTTTACTGTTGCTGACGTCCAGATGCCGATATTAGGTGCCGATTTCCTGGCGCACTATGATCTCGCCGTTCGAATGAACAATCATTCCTTAACAGACAACTTAACAAGACTGTGCGTTCTTGGCACTTACTCTAAACTTACCACCACTGGCATCACCGTGGCAACTTGCCACAATAAAGAGTACTTAGACTTATTGAATCAGTACCAGGACCTCCTGCGTCCTGCTGGATCTATTGATTCAACTAAACATCAAACACAACACTTTATTAAGACCACTGGTCAACCTGTTTTTTCCCGTCCTCGTCGTCTAGCACCTAACAAATTAAAATTCGCAAAGAAAGCTTTCGACGACATGCTACGAGAGGGTGTTATTCGTCCGTCCGACAGTCCCTACGCTTCCCCTCTTCATTTGGTACCTAAACCAGGAAAGGAAGACTATAGAATTTGTGTGGATTATAGAAGGCTGAATTCCATTACCGTCCGGGATCGTTATCCAATTCCCCATCTCCACGATTTCGCTTCTGGTTTACAAGGCGCAAAGATTTTTACTAAAATAGATCTCGCAAAAGCATATTATCAGGTGCCAGTAGCTGCTGCTGATGTCCCAAAAACTGCTGTTACTACACCATTTGGTTTATTTGAATTTTTAAAAATGCCTTTCGGCCTTTGCAACGCAGCACAGACCTTTCAACGTCTTATGGACGAAGTTCTGCGTGGACTCCCCTTCGTTTTCGATTACATTGACGACATTCTGATAGCTAGTGAGGACGCTGCCTCGCATAAGCAACACCTGCACGAAGTTCTTCAACGTTTGTCTCATTACGGATTCCGTCTAAACCTGGACAAATGTGTTTTTCGGATCAGACCATATAGAATTTTTAGGACATCATGTCGATGCAAATGGAATTGCCCCTATAACTGAAAAGATTAAAGCTATCACTGAGTTTCCCGTCCCTGTTTCCATCAAACAGTTGAGACGCTTTATAGGGATGATAAACTTCTATCGGAGATTCATTCCAAACTGTTCTAACATTCTGACTCCCCTTACCAACTTATTACAGAAGAAGAATAAAACTATTATACTTGAGAATGAAGCCTTGACGCCTTTCGAGCAGCTAAAACCACTCTAGGCAATTTTTCTAAGCTCAGTTTCTTAGAGGACGACCCTCAATCGGATATCTACCTGACCACTGACGCTAGCGAAACAGCAATAGGCGCGGTCATTGAACAAGTCAGTCCTTCTCAACATAAACCCATAGCGTTCTTTTCCGCTAAACTGTCTCCTGCCCAGTCACGCTACAGTACCTTTTCTCGTGAACTGTTGGCTATTTTTCGTGCTATTAAGCATTTCAGACACCTCCTCGAAGGTAGGTCCTTCGTCATCTTTACGGACCACAAACCTTTAACGTCCACCAATTCGGACAAATACACTTCGAGGGAAATCAGATATCTGGACTATATATCCCAATTTACTACTGATATTAGGTACATTAAGGGTTCGGATAACACTGTTGCCGATACCCTATCTCGTACTGAGATGTTCGTCGTGCATACTGATGCACTCAGTCAAGATTTGATCGCCGACGAAGAGGAAGCGGACATAACTCTGAAGCATGTGTTATCCGACACTTCTTTGGAACTTCAGAAATGTCCAGCTCCTTTTAGTAACAAGGTCCTATACTGTGATGTAGATCCAAATCCCCAAGACCTTATGTTCCTCCGTCTCTTCGTAGACAGGTTTTTGACCACCTACACGGACTCTCACACCCTAGCAAAAGAGCCACAGTTAAATTAATTTCGGACCGTTTCGTTTGGCCGAATATGAACGTTCACATTCGCGAGTGGGTCAATACATGTTTACAATGTCAGAAGTGTAAGGTGCATAGACACACAAAATCTCCTGTGGGCACTTTCAGCGAGCCTGATGCTCGTTTTACTAATATACACCTGGACTTAGTTGGGCCCCTACCAACCTGCCATGGTTATTCCTACCTTTTAACTATATAGTGGATCGTTTTTCCCGATGGCCTACTGCCATCCCTGTCAAAGATACCACTGCTGTGACTGTCGCAAAAGCTATTTTATGCGATTGGATTTCGATTTTTGGGACTCCTAAAGTGGTTACTACAGATAGAGGAGCTCAGTTCCAGTCGTGTCTTTTCAGGGAATTCACTGAACTCCTTGGTGCAAAGCATATACGTACTACAGCGTATCACCCCTGTGCTAATGGTCTGGTGGAACGATTCCATCGCACCCTTAAGGCTTCGCTATCAACGAAGCATGAGAATAATAATTGGGTCGATGAATTACCCCTCATCCTTCTATCGTTAAGAAATATTCTTAAGGATGATTTGAAATGCTCCCCTGCAGAGCTTGTATTTGGTACTTCGTTATCTTTACCCGGCCAATATTTTTCACCAGTTTCTTCCTCTTTTATTCAAGACTTACGCCTTAAAATGGCACACTTATGTTATACACCACCGCGGCACTGCCCGAGTGATATATATTTACCGCACCAGCTCAAGGACTGCGAGTTTGTATTTGTACGTAACGACTCTGTTAAGCGGCCTCTTACGCCGGCCTACACAGGCCCATACCGCGTTCTTAAACGCGCGGACAAATATTTCCAAATACAAAAAGGTATTCACACCGACAACGTTTCAATAGATCGGTTGAAGCCTGCTTTTATAGAGAAACCGTCGTCTCATACAACTTCCCAATCAACTCCGCAAGTTCAGGAGAATTTCAAGACACCTGTTTCTCTCGACAAGCCTAAGTATACCAGCTCTGGTCGAAAAGTCACCTTTCCAAAGAAATTTGAAACATTCTATTATTATTAGTTAAATGTCTGCGACATTTAATCCAGGCAGGGGGCTGTGTGGAATAATGTATTATTCCATCTACAACATTTTACGCGCGCGCGAGTTTCCTCCCTTTCTTCCACACTCGCGTGTGCGCGCGCGTTTGACACCCCTTTCTGCCTCTTTCAGTCTAATACAGTAGTAACTGGTTTTGTCGTCAGTCAAGCGACCTGCTACTCCTTCTTATGCAAATTAGATTTTTGAAATCTTCCCGCGAAATTTGTGACGTCACCGACAAACTGTTGTTTCAAAAATTAGTTGTGATCCAGACTCGGACCTGGGCAGACTCATTTTTATCCATGTCAATATTTTAGGTTGACTGACGAAGGACATCTTACGATGCGACCACAAATAATTAATTCTTCGTCCCTTTTGGCTCGTCATTCAAAATTCTTCTACGAGATGATGCAAACACCAAATAATTAATTCTGCGTCCCTTTTGGCTCATCATTCAAAATTCTTCTACGAGACGATGCAACTCCAAGTATTGACTTTTCGTCCCCATTGGCTCGTCATTCAAAATTCTTCTACGAGACGAAGTAACTCCAAGTATTAACTTTCCGTCCCTTTTGGCCTCGTCATAAATCTGTTTTGAACCAGTACCAAAAAAAAGGAAAAAATTATATATACATAACATTTCACTCACATTAGCAAAAAACTCGCAGTGAGTATTTTTCCTTGTATGTATATTATCATGTACATTGACTTATCTGGAATATTCTTCTTCTTCAAGAACTTTTCCCGCCTTAGCCATCTTGTTTTCTATTTTGGCGCGGAACATTTTCATTGATCCCTACTACGGGATAAGTTACTTGTTTTCCTGCATTTAATAAAAATTACTCTTGTTGGAATCCAGTCTTTTTCAGTCATTCTGTGCCGGCTATCTTAATATATTTTATTTTATGCACGTGTGGATTAACCACATTTCTTCGTTGTTCATTCACGCATTTTTTATTTATTTTTTACTTTGCTTGTAGACTCGGTAGTTTAGTGTGGTGTCTGGCACAAGGCCACTTAGTAATAAACCAGCACTGCACCCTACCGGGCCTGCAACAAATGTTCAATTTTTATATTGTGACTGATATCAAAACCTGATATGTGATCAACATGGACAGAATATCTTAAGCATATTGTTTTTTTATTATTTGATATGTGCATAGTGTAATAGTTGTCACCACAGAAAGTGGAACTAGAGTGCTGGGTTCAAATTTTGACTGACTTTGCTGCATTCACTTTTGCATAAACACTCTTGGGAAAGGTATGAATCCATCTCTTCTCTCCCAGTTATAGGTTAGATAAAAGGGCAGACAGGAATATCTAGTCTTGGTTGGCAACCAGTCTAGGAGGAGAACAACACTGAATTCAAAACCAGTCAGGGAGTTTAAAATTCTACTTGCTACAGAAACCACAGTAGTAACACCTAATATGGTAAAACTGTGTCTTTGTTCTCTGCAAAAGAGTCTAAGGGTACAAAGAGGGAGGAGGAGGATATACTGTCTAAAACGACCTCTGCTATGATATCATGAATTTCATTTTGGACAAGAGGTGTCGTTCATTGCATACATGGCTTTAACTGACTTTTCAACTTTTCTCCAAGCCAATTAATATTCTTAGGCTGAAGAAGTAAAAGTCCCATAAAGTTATCACAGTTGATATTGTAAACTTTGCCACTGAAGTCAGAGTGGTCCTCTTCATTGTGCTATGTTTTTTGGGCAGTAAACAACAAAGTTTTAATAATAGTTTTCAAGTACTTTCAGTTGTGCACTACCTTCTAGTTTCATACAGTGTTTAGCTGACCTAAAACCAATGTTTTGTGCTTTGCATTTGATCAACTTCATCTGACTGATGATGCTTTACACATTCTTTTTGAACCAGTTTATTTTTTACTA